CAGTTTTGGTTTTTTCCCATTCCATAACATTTTTTATTACATCATCTAGTTGTCTAAAGATGGCAGATGGAATCTTAATTGGCAACATCATTATAACATATGTAATTTGTGGGGCAACTATCATCTTTATAGTATTAATTTTTCCATCAGACTCAATTTTAGTTTTGACCATTTATCAAGATTTGTTTTTAGCCTTTGAAGCAGGGGGTTGAAGAGAGAGAGCTATTAAATATTAACTTGATTATTACGATTATTACCATGATTATTGTAGACAAATACGTGGGAATGAAAACAAAAAACTTGTTGTTAGTGAGAAACACAAACTACGATGCTATATGACCAGATTTGTCCTCTTGCGGCTCTGAGATATCTGTGAGTTTATGTCACGGAAACATCTGTATGCAGGGAGGAGGTTACACGCTTGCACTCTACACACTCACCTGTCAATGCTGATAGCACACAGGTTGAGAATACTGGCCGTGCACATCATCACATCCAGCGTGACGAAGATGTTACAGTAGAGCCGGCTAAAGAGCCAGGCTCCGCCGACCACCTGCATGGGAACAGACAGGCTAATTAACAACTCGTCCTTTTTTGTCATCGGGAAGTGTGATGCACCTTCGAATGCTCTCAGTGATGGGGGTGAAAGGAAAAACCGAGCCCAGGAGAAAATTTTCTGCCCCACTGCGAATAAAAGCCAAACGCTGCTAGAAGTAGTGTCCTTTATTTCATAATAACATACATGTGTGCATGTATGTTGGCAAAAAATTCTCACGATGAACTGGATTATTTATTGAATGTACATTTACGTCTGAATAACTTAGAAGTCGACCCACTTCAGCATCTGTCTACAAACATAAAATGCTGTGATTGGCCCGGCATAAACTTAGCCGATTGGTCTAGTTTAGATTAAACTGACTAAATGTATCAGATGTTATGCTTATAGTCCGGTGTGGTAGACGTTAGGAGATATTCACATTACATACCCTGAGCACTACACATTACTCAAGATATTAGCTTAAACATTTTCCTTTAGCATTTAGAGACAACTAGGGGTGTGTACTGGCAAGAATCTGGCGATACGATATTTATCACAATACAGGTGAGATGATATACTGCACTACTAAATGTCAGACGACATTAGCAATTTTTGAGACTGAATTTAATCAGAAAAAATCAGGCCAGACATGTCCAGTGTTATCGCGAGGTATTGTTTCGTCACAATGACGGTGGTAAAATCTGCTGCCACCTAGAAGTCGGAGTTTGAATTACACCACACAACACATACAGAGTAGATGTTTACATGTACATTTTCAATCAAATAAAAAGATAGCACTGCTTTTAAACAATGATTCAGTATCACAACATAGAATATTGCAATATTTCAGTGTGTCGATATTTACTTACATGCCTGGAATCAAGCTTGTCTGGACGCCACAAATATTCAACCCAAACTAAAGCAACAACAACCGTAACTAACCTAGTTATTCCGTATAAAAAGTTGCTCAACATAATCTCTGCCCATTCTTAAGCTTTGAACAAAAAATGATCTATACCTCCACAATTGGTCAAAATAAAATAATCTTTTAAAACTGACATGAAAAGTTAGAGGGGAATATGTATTCATCAAAGAATGTGTGTTTTAGAGGTTAATTATATTACTGGTCTTTTAATTGACAACACATTTGGGTGCATTTTCTCTGATGGCGATAAAATGATGAACAACATCTGTATTGTTAGCATAACAAGAGCTAAAGGAGAAAACCTGGTTAACATTGTGTATAATTATCTTAAAAAGGGCAATCTTTTATACTGAAAAGACATAAACAAACAGCTAATCCTGCAATACCACAATCTCCCACATCTCCACTGGGTAATAGCTGTCTGACAGAGATAAATGGGATCCAAGCACTGAATCTCACGCACGCACGCACGCACGCGCACGGACACACACACACACACACACACACACACACACACACACACACACACACACACACACACACACACACACACACACACACACACACACACACACACACACACACGACAGAGAGAGAGAGATGGAGGGCACATGTGGAAAAACATGCAGTCTATATACAAAATTTAAGTAGACAGCAATTTTTCTTTTTTCTCTTAAAGCAGACAATAATATGTGCAAGGTTTTTTTCTTGGTCTCCAAACATACTTATGCAGAAATGTTCTACTGCACACTAAAATACCTCTCCAAGAGTGCCTTTAAACTTTTGAATGCAGTTACAATGTCAAGCTGTCATTAAATACACCGTTTTTACCTGACAATTTTTCAAAATAAAACTATACTGGTAACTTTTTAATGGTAGATTAAAAACAGTAAAAAACCAAGCACTGTATTTATTCTGCAGAGGGAATAGCGTGTAATAAATGTTGTTCAGGTGAAATAAAGACTTTTAATCCTGTCCAAACTTGAATTGACCTGAAGTAGTCTTTTCTTCCTTTTAGAGTTTAAAGTGTTTGTGTTAATCTCGTGGCAGTTGAAGCCTCCGAACATTTCATAATAATCTGAAAAATCCAAGTGTAAAACATCATGAACATCTAGAATATTCAGGCTGTCTTTTAAAGACCAGGTTGTCTCGTTTTTAAATACATTTGTGGTGGTCTGTAATCAAAGTTGCTTTCTGGAGTTTTTCACTTTCGGGAGTACGATTTTTTTTATAGAAATTCATAAAAGTGATTGTCATATCATGTACTGTGTGATAATGGTGGAAATATGCCTTTTTTTGTTAAGTCCGCCCCATTTCCCATAGAGCTCCATGCAATATGAACTGAGTGACAGTCAGCCCTCACCAATAGTGTTAGACTGCCGCTTACCAATGTCAATCAAGCGTGCTCAAGTGTTTGAGGATGAACCTTGGTTGGTACAAAGTTGGCGACCTTCATCATGGACAAGCTTATATATATATGCAAACACAACATAATGTGAGCATTATAATTATTAAACCACATGTTTTAGCTGCTTTCAGCCACAAGTATGGAAGTAAAACAATGTCTTGGTGTGATACGCTTGTCAGCCACTAGATGGTAACATCAGATAAAAGTAATAATCTAGACATCTACTTTAATTCCTTGTTAGTCGATCGAAGGCACTCCTGTTTCAGTAACTAGAAGTGAGCCAGAGGACAGTTGAGCCGGATTCTGAATCTTATTTCCTGATAATCAAATAACTCACCTCTGATTGGCTAACAGCAATGCGACTCTACTACTGACTCAATTTCCATTGCAACGCTGGTGTTTTATATCCACATATAACACAAGCCCGAAAGAGTTCTGCCTAGTTGTGTAAATGCTATTGCTAACAGTTAGCTTCTACTTGCAGAGATGCTAAAACAACAGCCTTCCTCGTCACAAGCCAAGATCGGTGAATCCATGTATGCCAATTTATAACGTGACATTTATCAAACTGGCTTCTCTAATCTGCGGCTAATGCAGGAAATAGAGGTAGAACACCATTTTCACGTTTAGCCTGCATGTCAAACTCAGTTTGACTGATCATATTTCAAAAATAATTAAAAAACTGTTTCTCAGTGAATTATGTCTTTTATTAATAAGTTCTGGTTTTTTGGAGATCAATAATTTATCTGGTTATTCTAAACCATATATTGGGCTGGTTGCACCAAATTTGCAAAGACGCACATTTTTTTATCTTATAGTTTCATATAAAATGAAATACAAACAAAAAGAACTTTGTATAAAACATTTAAATATAACGGTGGACTCCTGAGTTCATGTTCTTATGAGAACATCTTCGCCAACAGCAGGGGAAAACAGGGGGAGTCTGGAAATCGATTCCCACCATTTAAAAATTGTGCCCTCAATTTGTGTATATGGGGCTGTCAACTGTGCCCAGGAATTTACAATTAACTGATACTAAATATGTTTTTGTCTGTTATGGTTGCTCCTACACTAAATTTCCTATGTTTTCTCGGTCGTCTTTGTGAATCATTTCTCTTTAAGCATCTGATGCGCGTATCGTATCGCTGCTGCTGGTTATTTTGAAGTTGCACGCTCTCACCCACTACTACACACTACTTAATGCTTATTTTGGTGTTTATCATGAGCCTGAGCCACATGTGAAAGAAAAATATCATCGTTTCCGAACACTGCGTCCTCTGGAGGCAGGTGCTGTGACGCAAGAGCATGACGGAGAGGAAATAATCCTGTGAAAAGCTGATGTGTTCACCTGTTGAGGAAGAGAAAAAACACAAGATGTGAAGCTTAAAAAAGAAAGAAAGAAACTATACTTTTGGTGTGGTTAGAGGCCCAATTCATGCACCTGATTGAATCAATGTAGTGTTTGGGGGATAAAACAACAACTTTAAGCAAATGTATTATGTTAGCAATCCCTCCTAATCATGTTATCCAACTCCAACCAGGCCCATCATCCTAGATAGCTTTGCTCCTGTTTCTTTGCCTGAGTTAACCAAACTAGTTAACTCTATGAAGACCTCTGCATGCCCCCTCGACATCTTACCCTCATCTTTGTTTAAAAGTGCTTTTCCATCCATCGGTCCCAGCGTGCTCTCTATAATTAATTCTTCTCTGGTTTCTGGTCAGGTCCCTGCTTACTTTAAGAACGCTGTAATCCACCTGCTTCTTAAAAAACCGAGTCTCGACCCCTCTCTCCTTAGCAGCTTCAGACCCATCTCTAAACTTCCATTCATCTCCAAGATCTTGGAAAAGGTTGTGGCTAAACAACTCACAGCTGCTCTTGATGAACATAACATCTATGATTGCTTACAGTCAGGTTTTCGTAGAGCTCATTCTACTGAAACAGCTCTTCTTAGGGTCTCTAATGACCTTCTGACCCACAGTGATGCAGGAGACTGTTCTGTTCTGGTCCTGCTGGACCTGACTGCAGCCTTTGACACTGTTGACCATCACCTTCTACTGGAGAGGTTGAGGGAATGGGTAGGCCTATCAGGATCTGCTCTGGAGTGGTTCTCCTCTCATCTTTCTGAGCGTTCCTTTTCTGTGGCCGTCTCCACTTTTAGGTCCTCCACCACCTCCCTTACCCATGGTGTCCCACAAGGTTCTGTGCTGGGGCCTCTGCTCTTCCTCCTCTATCTGCTTCCTCTTCAGCACATCCTGAGCTCCTTCAAAGGAATTTCCTACCATTTTTATGCAGATGACATCCAACTGTACATCTCCTTTAAGCCCCATGAGATGTCTAAGCTGCAGCTGTTACACACCTGCTTAGACTATCAAAACCTGGATGGCTGGGAGCTTTCTTCAGCTGAATGAAGATAAGACTGAGATCCTCATCTGTGCCCCAGACAAGCTGGTTCCCAAAGTCAGAGACTCTCTTGGTCAGCTTGCTGCTCACACCAAACCTTCTGTCAGGAATCTTGGCATGACCTTTGACCCAGCTCTCACACTGGATTCTCATGTCAGTTCTCTTGATCACTCTTCCTTCTTCCATCTCAGGAACATTGCTAAGCTGAGTCCCATTCTGTCCCGCTCTGAACTTGAGACCGTTCTCCACACCTTCATCTCCTCACTCTTAGACTACTGTAA